CAGCTAGGGGGACAGGGCTGGTGGCCGGCCCCTTCCCTGCTCCCACCCCCCACCGTGGGTCCAGGGGTTACAGTGGGGGCAGGGGGTACTCGGAGACGGGGAGCAGGAGTCACGGGAGCAACAGGGAACCAGCCCTCAGGAGCTGGAGGGGAAACTGGGGGAAAGACACTCAAGAGCTGGGAGGAAGTAGGTACCAGGGCGTGAGCCTGGCCACACAGTCCTCGGGCAAACCCACCCTGCTCTGCCCTGTCCCACCTGGCCCCAGCCCTTGCCCTGCCGGTGACCAAGAGGCAGCAGCAGCTCCCACCAGCGCCTGCACGACAAAGCCCTGACACACACCCTTCCCGTGACTTCCGTGCTCGTGGCTATCGAAATCAAAGCCGGCTACCTACATCTTGTCATTCATTCATACCCTCTCATGCATTCATTCCTACTCTACCCGCTGCTTGAATGAGTGGGACATGGGCAGGCGCAGGTGGGGGAGGGGGTGAAAGGGACTCTGCCTGCAGCTTGGGTGGCGCCTGACACTGTGATCCCCAGCAGGACCTGCTCCATCAGCCGCAGGGCCCCATGCAGAATGAGGATGCGGACCCCTGCATTTCCCAAAACTGCTGAGGGCTGTTCCGCCATGGCTGCATAGCACTGAGCCAAGCACTGACGCCTTCTGAGGCTGGCCCTGTGTGACCGCGCCAGCCGGCTGGTGACACTGCCTTGCGCTTGGTGTCTCTCCATTCCCTCCACGTGCTGGGACTCGGCCCAGGCAAGCATGTTGACTCCAGGGTAGGGGGAGTCATGGGCCTGGGACTGAGTCTGGCCTCCCTCTCACTGGCTGGGTGAGGCTGAGCCTACACACACTTGACAGCTCTGGAAAGTCGGGCGTTCAACCAGACAGCCTCAAAGCCCTCCAGCCCAGCTCCACACCCAGCGCCACACACAAGGCAGTGTTCACTCCATGACTGCCGTGGCCCCCTGATCTGCAGTCGTGCACCGGTGATTGAGGGTTTGCAGTGGTAAGGGCCTTAAAGGTCACCCCGGCCAATTGCTTTGTTGATTAGAAGGGGAAACTGAGGCCCAGAGTCCGTAAGCCCCCGTGTGGCCGCTTGCCTGCCCTCGTGAGCCTCCCCTTCCAGGAGCGACAGGTTGTGAGAGGTACACCCCAATCTCCTCTCCAGTTGGTCTTCAGCAGCTGGACCAGAGCAGAGCTGACCCAGGAGCAAGCCTGGGTTGAGGAGTTGCACATGGTCCCCAGACCTCTGCAGTCACCACTCACTGTGCCTGGAGGAAGAAAAAGGCCAGTCTTCCAGAGAGCCGGGCCCTGGAGGAACCCAAGAAGAGGCGCTTGTCCCCGAGGGCCTGCCCTGCCTCGGCGTCCTTTTCCTGGGGAACCCAAGACTCTACCTCGGCCACAGGACACAACATTCTCACCGGGCTTCAAGCCTGAGATGCTGGGTGAGAGAGCAGAGGCACTGTGGCAGGTGGGAGCTTGCCCCAAGCTGGTACCTTCTTGTGGAAGAATTGAGGGAGCAGACTGAGTACAAACACCCTACCCAGCCATGCCTTTTGTGAAGGGACTCTGCAGTGTCTCCCATTGAGAAGGAGGGTGTGTCTCCCCACCTTGAACCTGGACTTGATGTATGACTTACTGACCAACAGAATATGATGGAAGTGGCAGAGTGCCGATTCTAGCCCATGACTCCAGGGGCCTTGCATGGTGCCCTGTGGTCTCTCATGCCTCCACACAGCCCTGGCAGCCTACAAGAGAATGACGAATTTGTGGAGCCAAGCCAAGCTGATCCAGATATTCTAGCCAAAGCCCAGAGATGAGAGTGAACCCAGGCAGTATCAGTGAAGCCGCCTACCTGACCTGCAGCTGATGCTGGACACACCAGTCAGCCCAGTCCAAAGCAGAAAACCGCTAAGCTGAGCCCTGCCTCACCTGCCAAGCTAAAGGTTCAGGCATTGTTTTAAGCCCTGTGTTTTGGGATGGTTTGTAATGCAGAAATTAATTGCGTCTAAGTTGCCAGGCAGCTGAGGATGCCACTGTTCACACAGTTGCTGCCTTTTGCTCCTTTCTCCAGCATTAATTCTTTCCCCATTCCCCTGGAAGCTGATCTCAAGTACCCCCTTCCCCGGAGCCTGTCCTGATCACAATGGCCTGCAGTGCAGAGGCAGCAAAGTGTCGGAGAAAGAGCCCTGCAAAAGGCAGTAGAAAGCCCTACTTCACAGCATCACTCACTCATTCCCTGAGATTTGTGCAGAGGAGATCCAGAAAGCAGGGCGGGGAGCCGGCCTTCACATAGCTTCTGGTCCAATGGCAGAGACAGGCTAGGAGACAGATGGGGACCACATGGCCTCTTCCCTGCTCAAACCAGGTGAGCCCATGGGAATGCAAAAGCTGCCCCAGGGAAACTGGGTGCCCAGACCAGAGCCCACGTCCCTGGATACCTCACTGGCCCACCTCTGACAATTCCCTGTGTCCTGTGGACTCCAGCCCCACTGGATTGGAAGGGCCAGGAAGGCAGACAAGGAGGCACTTCCTCTACATCTCACAGCGCAGACAGCACCCAGGCTAGCCCCTGGGTGCAGGCTAGTGTGCCACCCTCGAAGGTACTTAGAAAGCCTTTGCTCAGTTGAACTGGATGATACTGGGTTGCATTGAATTGAATTAACTGAGATGAATGGAAATGAACCAAATGAAGTCAATAACACCCTTGCCTGGCAGCAACACAGTCACATCTCCAATGATGTCTCTGGGATGGTGACCATGTTTTGCCCCCTCTGGTCTCCCCCTCCAGATGAGCACAGGGCTGGGAATGAGGCCAGGGCTCCGGGCTGTTTGGCTGACACAGGTTGACCATATTTGTAAAGATTGCCTTTCCTCTGGATCCAGAAACTCCAGAGTAGGAATTGTCTACACATCTCCTTCATCCATGTTTATGCCATGATTTTTGGAAGGTGGGGGGCTCCTCCCGTGGGCCAGAAGCTTAGCTGGGTCTTGGGGATGTCAAGGTAAATCACCTTATTTAAGTGATCTTGTTCATGATGTATTATCATCTCATTTTCTTACCTTGCTGTCCCCAGGGTCCAGCAGAATTAGCGGAGCCCCAGAGCTCATGATCCGGTGGGTGATGTAAACACAAAGACGCCTCAGAGGTGGGGGTGGACGGGCCGCGGCGAGGGAGCTCTGCAGAAGGTGTGAGGGGGTTTCCGGGAACACAGGGTCTACTTCCATGCAGTGGTGGGGTCCGGCAAGGCTTCGTGGATGAGGAGACCCTGGGCAGAAGGACACGCAGGATTTGGCAGGATGGGCACAGCAGGGTGTGGTTCTGGAGGAGACAGAGCCTGAATCTGCATGTCAGCATGGCACAACCAGAGCTGGCCAGGGAAGGGTAGTTCCAGGAGGCTTTCCTTGCCTCCTTAAGGAGTTGAGGATTGTCCCCAGAACAAGTGAGGAGACCTGGAGGATGCCGTGATGGATGGCACCTTGGTTCCCAGGCCTCCCCCACTCCCGGACCCACGCCCTGCGCTGCGTGACTTTGCTGTTCCTCTCCTGGACATTCGCACCTCCCGCCCCAGAGACGCTGGGCTCCAGCTGAGGGCCACGGGCAGCAGTGAAGGGAACAGAGGTCTGCGTGGTCCCTGCGCAGAACCAACACTGAGAGCAGATGCCCAGAAGCTGCTGGCCCCAGGAAGAGGGGAGGCCTCGTGCAGCCCCAGAACCTCAGGCCAGCCCAGCCCCCTGGAACCAGCCTCACCCCCTCCCATTGCTTCCTAGTGCTATCCTTGTCAGTTCAGACTGCCAAGACAACACCACAAACTGCAAGGTTTAAATTGCAAACGTCGTTTATTTCTCACAGTTCTGGAGGCTGGGAGCCCAAGGTCAAGTCCCAGATGATTCAGTGGCTGTCAGCAGATGGCTGCACGGTCTTCTTGTGGGGTCCTCGAGCGGCGGAGAGCAGAGAGAGAGCCCGTTCTCTGGGCCTCTTCCTCTCAGGGCACTAATTTCCTCTCGGGGCCACACCCTCAGGACTGAACTACGTTCCACAGGCCCCCTCTCCAAATGCCATCGCACTGGGAGTTAAGGCTTCAACTTGTGGATCTGGAGAGGACACACATTTGGTCCGCAGCAAGCGTGCAGACTCAAACCCTCATCTTAGGCTCTAAGGCATCCAAACCCAGCAGCTGTGCACTGCGAAGCCTGGAGGGCACGCAAGGGACTCCTGGGTGGGTGAGGACACGTGTCGGGCTCAGGAGCCAGTCCCTGGGTTTGTCTTGCCATCCTTCGCCCACCTCTCGACCTCGAATGGATTTCCTGACCCAGAATGTGGGGACCGAGGCCTGGGAAGGTTGAGGGAAGCATTAAGTGAGGTGACACTTGTCCTGTATCCAGCTCTCCATAGGTGCACAGACACAGACAGTGCGACCCAGAGGCCCCGGCATTCACCTGCAAGTGCGTTTCCATGACTTCAGGCGGGAGGCAGTCAAGAGGCTTTTCCCACCTCCCTTCCCTGGAGCCCTGCCTGGCAGTCCCTGGAGCCTGCCCCTTAGCTTCTGCCTGGCCCCTCCTGGGCAGCCAGCCTGTCCCAGAGTCCCCACCCAGGCCTGGCGCCGGCAGGCAACAGACGCTTGCTGGTGGGTGGTCAGGAGCGCGTGCCCAGGAGACCTGCCTCCACACCATCCACTGATCTAATCAATACCCTGCTCCTCCCGAGACCGCGATCACAGGCCCATCCAAGCGGGGGTCTGGCTGTGACCCCTTCTTCACCCCGGACTTCCCTCATGACCGCCAGCTCCCCCTCCCCTCTCCCCAGCCCGCCAGGGTGGGCCGCTGGGAAGAAACCCATCTCCGACGTGGACCCTGCACACAGGGGGTTGCGGGCCTGTCAGATTGGGTCACCCGAATCAACGGTGATGATAAAACCTGTCCCTCCAAATTAGGCCAGAGCCCCCGGAGCCCTGCTGATTACAGCCTGTGCGCTGCTTACAAAGGGTCCCTCGAGGGTCATTAATATGGATTGAGGCCCATTGTTTTCTCAAATTAGGCCACAGGGAGTGCTTCTTGGGGAAGCACATAGCGGGTGGCATGGCCGAGGGTTCCTGGTTTCCCGCCCAGGGTCCTGCGCGGCCAGGCTGGCGGCCGACGTGGGAGAGGCCAGACCATTCCCAGGCCGAAGGCTCAGGCTCGGGGGTGAGGCCAGGGCCAGTGGGCTTCCCCAGCTCACCTGCAGAATGTTCTGGAGAAATAAAAGCATCCCCCTGAGTACCCGCAGGGCCCGTGTGAGAATTCGTAACTCACACAGAGGGTCTTTGCTGTCTGCAAAGCATCTTCAATGCTCAATGCCTTTCACCCTCCAGCACCCTGGGAATTCCACTCCAACTCACAGTATGGGAAACTGAGGCTCCAGAAGGTCCAAAGGTCGTCGAGTTGGTTCACAGGCCGGAATGCAGGCGCCCCTCCTTCACCTCGTGACATGCCACTTCACCGTGGGACCCACTGCCCGCGTTCAAGAACAGGGATGGCCCAGTTACGTGGCATGCATGTGTAACCATGATGACAGCCACAGGCCGAGCACACGGAAGCCTTCATATCCTACAGGACGTTCCCGTCCCTGTCCTCTCACCTGACTCCTGGCCCAGTAGCCCGGGGCTTCACTGGGTCCTGGACGCTTGTTCACACGTTCACCACGCTTTGCAGTTTGTCATGCAACATGGCTCCATTATTTCCCGTGAGCTTTGCAAGAGATCATTTTTTTTCAGGTTGAGTTCAATGATGACACGGTGTTATCTCCATCCCAGGGCAGAGGAGGCTCGGGGAGGGAGCCAAGGGGTCCCCACAGGCTGTCACAGCCTGACTGCCCCTGGGGAAGAGCAGGGGTCAAGGCCGAAGGGATGAAGACCCCGACCTTGCCCTCGCCTGGCTGAGGTGCGGTGGGGCAGAAGGACTCGTGACCAGCCACCCAGCACCCTGCGGGGGTGAAACTGGGCTCAGAAAAGGAATGGGCCCCGAGCTGCCACAGCCCGGGGTGGGAGGGTCCCTGGCCAGGACTTTAACGGGCAGGATGTGGGAACAGCAAGGCAGCTATGACATTCGTGGAGCCCTGCGCCAAATGAAAATGCGAGACCCTCCTTCTAGGACAATCGGAGCATCCGACCACGTGCAGGGCCCTTCTGAGCACGTGGCCCCTGCATGGGGAGGGTTCGTTCAATGCCTGTCTGACAAGCATAACGGGGGCAAGTCCTTTCTCCGTGGGTGGGGGAGGGGCTGCTAACAAATAAATAACAAGATGGCTGCAGATCATGCCACTGCGCCGTAGAAGTAGATGGCGGGGGTGAGACAGGATGCTGCTGGGGGACCCCTTAGTGGATGGGATGATCAGACAAATGCACGAGGAGGGCCAGCCATTCGGGGCAGGGAGACAGGAGGTGGGAACAGCCCTGCGAGGGAGCGGAGGCTGCAAAGTTGCTGCTTGGTCCTCCGTCCTGCTGGCTCCCAGCACAGGCACTGAGAGGGACCTGAGTCCCCACCCCTGGGGAGGCCCTGCACCCCCACCCCACCCCTGCGCTGAGCCCAAGCCTCCGCCAGTCTCTGGGGACCTGCCTCCTGCACCCTGACTGCCTGTTCCTGTTTCCCCTCACTCACACCTCTGCTCGGGGCTGGCTGGCATCTTCCCTCCCCTGATGGATGTGTTTTCACATTTTACAAAGGTGTATGTTCCTAAAAAACAGCAAGTAGGCCAGGCACGGTGGTTCACGCCTGTAATGCTAGCACTTTGAGAGGCAGAGGTGGGTTCGATCACTTGGGGTCAGGAGTTCGAGACCAGCCTGGCCAACACAGTGAAACCCCATTCCTACCAAAAAATGCAAAAATTAGCCGGATGTGGTGGCAGGCACCTGCAAACCCAGCTACTCAGGAGGCTGAGATTGGAGAATGGCTTGAACCCAGGAGGCGGAGGCTGCAGTGAACTGAAATCACGCCACTGCACTCTAGCCTGGGCGACACAGTGAGACTCTCTCAAAAACAAACACACAAACAAACAAACCAGCAATCAGATGGCAAGATATCACCCTATGTTCTCAAGTGAAAATATGAAGTCACAAAACAACACTGTGATGTGACTTAGGAAAAACAAGTGAGGGCCAGGTGTGGTGGCTCACGCCTGTAATCCCAGCACTTTCTGCGGCCAAGGCGAGTGGATCACTTGAGGTCAGGAGTTCGAGACCAGCCTAGCCAATATGGTGAAACCCTGTCTCTATTAAAAATACAAAAATTAGCTGGGCATAATGGCGGGCACCTGTAATCCCAGCTACTTGGGAGGCTAAGGCAGGAGAATCACTTGAACTGGGGAAGCGGAGGTTGTAGTGAGTTCAGATCGTGCCACTGTACTCCAGCCTGGGTGACAGACTGAGACTCCACCAAAAAAAAAAAAAAAAAAGAGAAGCCGCCGGGCGCGGTGGCTCCAGCCTGTAATCCCAGCACTTTGGGAGGCTGAGGCGGGTGGATCACGAGGTCGAGAGATCGAGACCATCCTGGTCAACATGGTGAAACCCCGTCTCTACTAAAAATACAAAACATTAGCTGGGCATGGGTGGCGCGTGCCTGTAGTCCCAGCTACTCAGGAGGCCGAGACAGGAGAATTGCCTGAACCCAGGAGGCAGCGGAGGTTGCGGTGAGCCGAGAGTGCACCATTGCACTCCAGCCCGGGTAACAAGAGCAAAACTCCATCTGAAAAAAAAAAAAAAAAAAGCCAAAAAAAGGAGAGAAAAGAAAAAGCAAGTGGGGGGTACATGCGTGGAAGAACATAAAAAAGACTGGAAGGAACATCTAATGTGAGGGCTGATCGTCTCTGCAGAGGCTGCCTGTGGCTCCTACCCTTCTGTTTTCTGATTGCTGTTGTAATCAACATGTGTTATTCTCACGAGCAGATCAACGCCCTGTTGTGCACATTTGGAATGAGAGAAGGGTGCTGCAGGTGAGAAGTCAAAGGGGCAGAGCCGGCCAGCTTCTCCGTCTGGTGTGACCTCTTCTCCTCGCCTCCCTGCCTGGCTGCCTGGAGCCTGATCTCAGCCTCCAGCCACTCGGCTTGCACTCTCAGCCTCGCCTTCCCCAGAATGCACGCCCACCCTCCCCTTCCCTCGGGATCTGCCGCCTCCAAACCTCTGTCCATGCTGGGTCCTCTTCCGGGCCACGCTCTTCTTCCCAGCTCGGCAGGTGCACGTCTTCCTAGCCCGGGGGGCCCTGCTCAGAAGGCAGCTCTTTCAGGAAGCCTCTGCGGGTACCCTGGCTGAAGAGACCCCACCTTCTCTGGGCTCTCCCGCCACCTCCTCTCTGGTGAGCTGCCCGCTGTCTTCCTTGAGTCAGAGTTCAAGGTGTGGCTTCTTGCCTGTGAGGGCAAAGTCTGCCACCGACTCCCCTCCCTGGCTGTCAGCTCTGCGCAGTGGGCGGGTGCTCAGTAAACATCACCAAACCCATTATCCCCCTTCGGGCAAACAGGTCCGGGTGGGGGCGAGGCCTGGTGTGGCTGGAAAAGCAGTCTGGATGCCCCACCTGTGGCTGCCTCAGCGGCTGTATCTGACAGCCACGGGCACCAGGACCAAGAGGCGTGCCCTGGCTGCCTTGGCCTCCTCCTTTCTCCCCAGGGCAGGCAGGGTGACATAGCGTGCCTGGGCCACACTGAGAGCTCAGGCCGGAGCCAGCAGTCGGCTCGTAACACCGGCGAGGGCCCTTCCACAGGCCTGACCCGCAGCACGTCCCAGAACCCTGCGGCTTCCCAGGGAGAGTTCCCAGGAGTCTGTGCTGGCATGGAGAGGGGGCACTGGTTGTGCGGCTGCTGATGTCGCAGGCACCCAGAACCCTGACCAGAGTCGTCCCCTTGGCGTGCTGGCAAAAAGTTGCTCGGACAGGGCTGCAGGGCTCTCAGACCCTTTGTATCTTCTTCTCTGAGTCCGAGTCTTGGGGAAATTGGGAAGCCCTCTGGGAGCTTCCCTTCACCTGACAGTCCCACCCTCAGGGTGCAGCGGAGGCGGAGTCTGCACCCCAAACCTGCTTCTCTGTGAAACAGTTAGGAAAGGTCTGCAGACAGCATCATCCAGACTCAATTCTTCCTCCCTGCTATGAATCGTGGACCAGAGTGTTCAGGTCATCACAGTGATGACTCCAGCGCTGAGCCGGCGCTGGGTGGGACCAACAGCGGGGATGGAATGCCAACCAACGGGGCCCCACAGGTGGGGGCCCCGCTGACCTCATGGCACAGAAGAGGCTTGAAGAGGTCAGGGGCTGCCGAGGGCCTGTGGACAATGTGGTGTGAGGAGGGGATGTGAGGTGGCACGGGCCTCTCTGATTCCCAAGGGAAGCCTCAAATCACCCCGGTGCCACCCAGCCCAGGGACAGAGGGGACAGAGCCACACTGAGTGCACAGCCTACTAGCAACTGTGTGCCAGATGCCAGGCACCTGCAGTGTGCTGGTCATGGGCCTGAGGTGGGGCTGTGCTGGCAACACCGTAGGCAGCATGTCCGCACCAAGCCCTGGACCAGCTCCCCTCCTTCTGCCCTCACAGCAACCCCTGGGGCAGCCAGTGTTACTAGATTCCCATTTGACGGGTGAGGGGGTGCCAGGAGGCTGTGTCACTCTGCCGATCTAGCAGTCCACACATCAGAGTCCATGCTCTGCCACCATTAGAATGGGGCTTACGATGGCTGCCCCACTCAGTTCAGGGGCCCCCACCAGAAGCTCTCAGGCCACACCCTGGGACTTCAGATACACTCCCGGCAAGTGGCAGGGGGCCCTGAGAGGTCCAGAGTCCAGCCAACTTCGGGTCTCCTAGGCAAGAGGAGCCAGACCTCTCACACATACCCTCAAACCCAGCAGTCACTCCAAGAGGATGCTCTGACAGTCCAGGCTGATGCAGCTCACCATGGCAAACGACCTTCCCTGAACCAGGTCTGCGCATAGAGGACCATGCAGCCCTCTGGGAATGCTGAGGCTGGGGGAAGCCATGGACACTGGAGCTCCTGCCCGTGGCAAGGGCCATCCACGGGGAGGAGCCAAGCCAGAAGAACACCCCAAGGTAAGAGGGAAGAGCTCTGTGGGGCAGAGGGCAGCCTGAGCATCTGCTAACAGAGGGGCTTACATGGAGGCCCTGGAGACACCTGGAGGAGATCCCTACAGAGGAAGGGCTAGATCAGGCTCCAGCCAGCAAGTAAGGTCTCTACCAGCTTGGAGATTGTAAACCCTTTAGATAGGGAGGGAGAAGGTGGGCAGATGGATGGAAGGCTGTGTGGATGGAAGGTTGGATGGATGGACAGATGGGTGAATGGGTGGATGGATGGATGAGTGGTGTATTCGTCTATTCTCATGCTGCTAATAAAGACATACCTGAGACTGTGTGATTTATAAAGGAAAGAGGTTTAATGGATTCACAGTTCCACATGGCTCGGAGGCCTCACAACCACACAATCATGGCGGAAGGCAAAAGAGAAGCAAAGCAAAAGACTTCATGTCTTACATGGCAGAAGGCAAGAGAGCATGTGCAGGGGAGCTCCCATTAATAAAACCATCAGATCCTGTGAGATTCATTCACTACCATGAGAACAGTATGGGGGAAACGGCCCCTATGATTCAGTTATCTCCACCTGGCCCTGCCCTGGACACATGGGGATTATTACAATTCAAGGTGAGATGTGAGTGGGGACACAGCCAAATCATATCAAGTAGCTAGATGGATGGATAAATGGATGGATGGATGAGTGGATGGATGGATGAGTGGATGGATGGATGGATGAATGGATGGATGAGTGAATAGATGAGTGGATGATTGGATGGATGAATGAGTGGATGGATAAATGGATGGATGGATGAGTGGATGGATGGATGAGTGGATGGATGGATAGATGGATGGATGGATGGATGGATGGATGGATGGATGAGTGAATAGATGAATGGATGATTGGATGGATGAATGAGTGGATGGATGGATGGATGGATGGGTGAATAGGTGGATGGGTGGATAGCTGGTTGAATGGATGAGTGGATAAATGAATGAGGGGATGGATGGGTGGATGAGTGAATAGAGGAATGGATGATTGGATGGATAAATGAGTAGATGGATGGGTGGATAAATGGATGGATGAGTGGATGGATGGATGGCTGCATGAGTGGATGGGTGGGTGGATGAGTGGATGGATAAGTGGATGGGTGGATGAGTAGATGGATGGGTGGATGAGTGGATAAATGGATGTGTGGATGGATGAATGAGTGGGTAGATAAGTGGATGGATGAATGGATACATGGATGGATGGATGAATGGAAGAAAGGAAGAGAGAGAAGGAAGTTACACTGATTGCTTTATATAGCTTCAGTCTTACCAGAAAGTTCTGCAGACCGTGTTGCTTTCAAACAGATGTTTCTTCCCTCACTGTCCTGGAGGCTGGACATCTGAGATCAAGGTGTGGCAGGGCTGGTTCTTCTGCAGTCTCTTTCCTTGGCTTGTAGACAGCGTCTTCTCCTCGAATTTATACAGGGTTGTTCTTCTGTGAGTCTATATCCTAATCTCCTCTTATGAGGATGCCAGTCATATTGAATTAAGGCCCACCCTAGTGACCTCCTTTTAACCTGATTACATCTGCAAAGATTCTATCTCCAAGTAGTGTCACGTTCTGAGGTCCCGGGGGTTAAGACTTCAACATATGAATTGTTGGGGGGACATGATTCAGCCCATAGCACATAGCTGTCACAGACACTTCTGAGGTCCATGGAAGGAGAGACTGTGGATACTCGTTGCTCCCCAGAGTCCCAGCAACGCTGCTCAGCACAGGTCTGTGCAAGGGAGGATGGCCATCTGCTTTGCCACGGTCTGGAGTCCCCTTCTTTCCTTAGTCAGGACTCCGGGTCCTCTGTCCGGTGGACCCCTCTTCCCAAACTCCTCTCTGGCCAGGACTTACACGCTGGAGGCCACAGCCTGGAGTGGAATTCCACTTCCTCCACTTCTTAGCTGTGTGTCTTTGGGCCTGTTACTTAACCTCGCTGTGCTTCAATTTCCTTCTCTATAAAGTAGGATCATGATATGCCTTACCTCATCGGTTTTTATGAAGATAAAATGAGGGACATTCACGGGATATTGGAACAGCGCCAACCTCCAGCAAGCACTAGGCTAGTGTTTGCTAAATAAATGAAGAAGCCAACTCCATGAGGAGGCTGAAGGCAGAAGAGCGCTGAGACTTGTCTGAACTTGGAGCTCAGAGGGCTGTGGGCTCAGAGGAGGGGAAGGGCCCACTGTGGTCAGACCCATGTCCGGAGGGGGCTTTTGCTTAGCAGGGGCTGCTGGCCAGGCAGCCCCAGCCGCACCCCATTTTATGCATGTTAGAGAGAAATCCAAGCGTGAGGGTCTGCAATTGTCCTGTTTGTTTACAGCATTTGTTGGAGCATATTTCTGGCAAGGAAGCTGACAATAAACCGAGGCCCGGGCCGGCCCGGCTGGCGGGCAGCAAATGAAGACAGCTGCCGAGGCGGGTGCCTCCCGGTGGGCTGGGGCCGGAAACCAGGGGCTCTGTCTCAGGCGCTTCAAAGAAGAGCCTTTGTCTGGGGCAGCCGAGCCAAGGGCTCCGCGGGGGCAGGCAGGCTGGGGCTCTGGGTGATGCCCGACTCACTCCGTGACCCCACAAGGGCAGCTCCCGTTCCCTGGGTCTCAGGTTCCCAACTGTGAAGTAAAGGGGAGCTAGGAGCCTGCTGTGAGCCCCACACTGGCTCCTGGGAAGAGAGGTGCTCTCGGGGTGCTGCCTAACTCCTCAGAGCCTTCATTCTGCAGCTTCAAGATAGAGACTCTCAGAACGCTTAGTCAAGCAGCAGGCAGGCTGGGGCCTGGCCTCCAGACAGGAGGTCAGGGGAGGAGGAGAGGCAGGGCCGTCCGGTGAGAGAACACCGAGGTTCCGTGGGAGAAGGGAGGGGCAGTCCTGGCATGGGTGCACACATTTGGTGAGGCCTGCGCCCCTCCCTTGGGCCCAGAACCCCAGGCACCTGCTTCTCCCTCCAGAAGGGTGTGTCTGCACATCCTGGCTGAATGATGTCCCCAGGGCAGCCTGAGATGCTGTAACTTCAGGTGACTCCCCTGCCTCCCAAGGACAGTTAGTGAAGGCGTTTTCATAAAGGATACATCACCAAGGCACAGTTTTTAAGAACCTCTAATGTGAAGTGGGTGTTTTGCAGGCACTAGAAAAGGCCCAGCAGTTTCCATAAGGAGAAACCCCTCTGCTTCCGCCAAGGGGGCGGGCGCTGTGTCTCATTTGCCCACGCAGCTGCTGAGCCCGGCCACCTGCA